AATTCAATTTATTTAAAAAACTTTACATTCTGTCCTTCACTAATTCAGACTGGACTTCCTTTAATTTATCTGAGTGGGTGGCACTACTTTATTTCTTAATTTTTTTGTGTGTGTTTATTAGATTCACTCAAGAATTGAATGAAATAATCCTTTTCTATCTGATGTGGGTTTCTGGAACTGGATGTATAAAAATGCTGCCATGTTTATAAAGACAAATGTTCCATATAAGAAAAAAATCAGGGGCGCCTGGGTGGCTCAGTCGGTTGGGCGTCCGGCTTTGGCTCAGGTCATGATCTCCCGGTTTGTGGGTTCGAGCCCCATGTCGGGCTCTGCGCTGACAGCTAGCTCAGAGCCTGGAGCCTGCTTCAGATTCTGTGTCTCCCTCTCTCTCTGACCTTCCCCTGCTCACGCTGCCTCTCTCTCTCTCAGAAATAAATAAAACATTTTAAAAAAAAATTAAAAAAAAAAATCAAACATTTTATCGTTTTGTTATTGGTTTCATTAACATGGTATTGATTTCTGTTATTGCACTATATGGACACACTGGGAAGAATGTTTATCATTATATGGTTGATCACAGTGGATTTGTGGACTTGACCAGGATTCATTATTTCAAAAGTATTTCCAGAATTTTGGTTGCATGTGATTATGAATGGACAGTGTTTTACAGCACTGTTTAAAATGTTATATGTTAAAATGTTGAAATGATTACATATATTTCCCGCATCCTGATGGACATTTAGGTGTGGGGACCCAGTCTCTCTTCAGCTCTGCTGTTGCGCCTGTAATCTGGAGCATCGCTGGCCCATTTCCTCCAGGTTGTACAACTCCGTTCTACCCCAGGGTTAGTGAGGCAGCTGGGTACCCTCCTGCTCCTTATCCATATTTGCACCTAGTTTCTTCCCTTTGAGCCCTGTCCCTGATGCCTGCCTTCGGAAGCACTCATTGGCCCCAATTCCTCAGCCTTTTGGGGTCAGCTCTTAGCTCTGCTCAGGCCATTCCGCTATGTCCATCTCTTCCATCTTCTGAAATACTGTTGACATCCTCATCTGCCATCATCTTGTTTGCCAAGTTTATGCCTTTCTAGTTCTTGATGTCATTTGGTGGGGGTGTGGCTTGGAGAATGTATTAAATCTGCAGTGTTTTAATGGAAAGTCTTTCATTTGTAATAAAAAACCTTTTTAAAAATTATTTTATTTTTAAAAATTTTTAATGTTTTATTTATTTTTGAGAGAGAGAGAGACAGAGTGAGCAGGGGAGCGTCAGAGAGAGAGGGAGTCACAGAATCCAAAGACAGGCTCCGGGCTCTGAGCTAGCTGTCAGCACAGACCCCGATGCAGGACTCGAACCCATGAACCGAGAGGTCATGACCTGAGTCGAAGTCAGACGCTTAACCAACTGAGCCACCCAGGTGCCCCCAAAAATGTTTATTTTAAAGAGAGAGAGAGGTGGGGGGGAGGAAGGGCAGAGAAAGAAAGGGATAGAGGATCCAAAGCAGGCTCTGTGCTGACAACAGTGAGCCCAACGTGGGGCTTGAACTCACGAACCGCGAGATCATGACCTAAGCCAAAGTTGGATGGCCAACCAGCTGAGCCATCCAAGTGCCCCTGTAATAAGAAAACCTTTTATGTATATTTTCTTACAAGTTCTTTTTTACTCCTATTGTTGTGTGTCTGCATGTGCTTTTTTCTTCTCACCAGTTCCACTGAGTTATGAATACTGGTCTTTATGATACACTGACTTTGGGGAAAGGTTTTTTTTCCCCTCAATGAATTTGAATATATTTTCTTTCTTTCCTTCTTTTTTAAGATCTTATTTTTCAGTAATCTCTATACCCAATGTGGGGCTTGAACCCACAACCGTGAGATAAAGAGTTGCATGCTCCACTAATCCAGCCAGGCGACCCTGAATACATTTCCTAATTTTTTTTTTTTTTTTTTACTAATTCCTGACCCTTTCCATAAATAAACTTCTATTTTCTTTTAGGAATTTTTTCCCCCAAATTTCTTGCGTTAAAATTCTAAGGGGTCTGGGGCGCCTGGGTGGCTCAGTTGGTTAAGCGTCCGACTTCGGCTCAGGTCATGATCTCCCGGTTTGTGGGTTCGAGCCCCACGTCGGGCTCTGTGCTGACAGCTCAGAGCCTGGAGCCTGCTTCAGATTCTGTGTCTCCCTCTCTCTCTGACCTTCCCCTGTTCATGCTGTCTCTCTCTCTCTCAGAAATAAATAAAACATTAAAAAATTAAGAAAAATATATTAAAAAAATAAAAATAAAATTCTAAGGTGTGTGTGTGTGTGTTTTCTTGGCTGACTGCTTTTCTTTCTCTCTTTGAAAGTACCAAACCATGAAAAACTCAAATTTTCTGGAGTAGATATGTTTTTATATCTAGTATTAAACATTTCAATTTTGCTATCTTCTTAGCCCCGAGAATTGTTTAGGATACTGTTCTGTAGTTCCTAAGTAGGTTTTTTGGGGGACACTCATCTTATGTTTTATTTTGTAGTCTTACCACATGGTTACATGGTAGTCAGATAGTATGTCCTCTACAATCTCTATGTTTTTTTTGCACCTTGTTGCATTTTTTGGTAATGGTGTGGGATATAATAAATTTTGTAAATATTCTGAGGTTAATTTAGTATTACTTAGTGATAAGCAGCAGTTTGTCTCATTTCTGTGTTGAACTTGTTTTTTTTTTAATTATTATTATTTTTTAAAATATTTTTAAATTTATTTCTAGGAGAGAGAGAGAGAGAGAGACAGCGTGAGCAGGGGAGGGTCAGAGAGAGAGGGAGATACAGACTCTGAAATAGGCTCCAGGCTCTGAGCTGGCAGTCAGCACAGAGCCCGACGCGGGGCTCGAACCCACGAACCGCGAGATCATGACCCAAGCGAAAGTCGGACGCTTAACCGACTAAGCCACCCAGGCGCCCCTGTGTTGAACTTGTTTTATAAGAAAAAGCAGGCATGGTTAACGTACATTACAGATTTTCCTGACCTTACGATTGGATTACATCCTAACTTGAAAATCTCCAAAGTCAAAAATGCATTTCATACTCCTACCCTGTCAAACATTGTAGCTTAGCCATGTCTACCGTAAGCCCGCACAAAACACGTTTGCCTATAGTTGGGCAAAATCATTTAACACCAAGCCTATTTTATAATGAAATGTTGAATATCTCCTGTAATTTATTGAATACCGTACTGAAAGCGATAAACAGAATGGCCGTGTGGGTACAGAATGATTACTGAGCGTATCAGTTGTTTACCTTTCTGAGTGTGCAGCTGACTGGGAGCCACATTTGGCTTTCATTGCCCAGCAGCACAACAGAGGCTCACACTGGGCATCACTGGCCTGGGGAAAGTGTGGTTTCTGCTGAATGTGTGTTGCTTTTGCACCATTGTAAAGTTGAAAAATTGTAAGGTGAACCATCGTAAGTCAGGGACTGTCTATACTTGGAAATCTCCCTGTCTCAGTAGCTTAGAGCAACCCGAGGGCTAAGTCTTTATTACCTGGGTAGCAATGGGGCCAGGGTTAAGATGGAATTCCATGCTGAAAGACTCTCCTCACTAGGCCACTCCTGAAATTACAGACACTCAGAGGACAATGTGATATCCCTCAGAGCCTCAGGTAGAAATTCTTCTTTGATCTTGGGCCATATATCGATCACTGTCTGGTAGATTTGTGTGTGTGTGTGTGTTAGCCTCACACATTTTTGTTACCTGTGTAAGTAATTGGGATCTGGTCATCTGGCTAGGTCCTGGCTATTATATCAAAGGCTTTTTTTTTTCCTGTTTATTTATTTTGAGAGAGAGAGCGAGAGAGAGGGAGGGGCAGAGAGAGGGGCAAGGAGACAGAGAATCCTAAACAGAGTCTGCGCTGACAGCACAGAGCCAGACGTGGGGCTCGAACTCATGAACTGCTGAGATCATGACCTGAGCCAAAATCAACAGTTGGACTCTTAACCAACTGAACCATCCAGGCGTCCCTCAATGACATTTTAAACATATTCATTTTTCCCCTGAAAGAAAAAATGATAGGATAATAGATGAGTTCTTCCTTCCACTTGCTCTTTGAGTCGTAGCAACTAGGATTACAGGTTCCTTTGTCCATTTGGTCAGTAAAAGTATATTGAGTGTTTTTATACTGTGCCATGATGATATGTGGGCAAATGACATAATCCCAGAACTTGAGGAGAAGCTCATTAATAAAACGCAGCTGGGAAGACAGAACTGGAATAGTATAAAATAACAAATTAACATGGTTGATGTGGGAATTTACAAGAGTTAGTGGAGCACAGAGGAAGATACATTTAATTTTCCACTAGAATGGAGGAATGGGGAAGACCCTAGGGAGAATGTGATGTTTAAGGTGGGTCTTGAAACAGGAATGGGTGCTAGCTGGAGAGAGAAGGAGGGAAAGGCATTCTAGCTGAAGGAACACCGTGACTACGGCATGAAGCAGGACAGTGGATTAGCATGGTGGGAAAGAGTAGACGGCCTTCTGCCTAGAGAATGTTCTGTGTGGTTTGGGTTTGGAAACAGTGAGGCTTGGAGGGATTAGCTTAGAGTTGGACTGGTAAGAGCTTTGGTTGCCAGAAAGAGATACTTGTACTTTACTCTGTGGTCAGTGAGTAGCTGTCCACAGTATGGCATCAGATCTATCTTTTATAATTTTGCAATTCAAAATTTGGTTTTTCTTTCCAAACGTCTACTACCCAAAATATGACTTGTCTAGAGGAGGTGACTGAAGTTTTGTTTTCCTGGGGCGCCTAGGTGGCTCTGTCTGATGAGTGTCCCGACTTCGGCTCAGGTCATGATCCCATGGTCCATGAGTTTGAGCTCCATGTCAGGCTCTGTGCTGACAGCTCAGAGACTGGAGCTGCTTCAGATTCTCTGTCTCCCTGTCTCTCTCTACCCCTCCCCCACTTGTGCTCTCTGACTCTCAAAAAAAAAATGTAATGTTGAAATTTTCTTTTCCTGAAATATATAATTTATGATTCAGTTTTAGATGTCTGTGCCACTTGCCATGAACATGCTACCTGCAAGCAAACAGAAGGGATGAAGATGTGTATTTGCAAATACGGATTTGTGGGCAATGGGAGGACTCACTGTGTTGGTAAGTTCTGAATCTTGGGTCAAGATGAAAAGTTGAATCAACTAACAAGGTTCTCTAGAGTTGAAGAGCTTAATACTTCCGTGTGGGGAAAACGTTGTTTTGTTCACGTGTTTTTATTATAAGAAGTTTTGTCTGTTATAATATGGCTTTCCTTTAGTGATTCCGCTAATGCCTTTCTTTAGCATTTCCAAGGAAGTATCTTTCATGTTAGGGGGTCAATGAACTTGAATCTTTGGCAACTCTCTGACCTAACACAAATATGAAATGTTTCAAGTCTTGAGTTTAACTTAACTTGAGTGAATATTGCATTCCTAAATTTCTCCTGGTTGTTTTGGTGTAAAATGATTTGTATTAGTAACCTGAGGAAAAACAAAACACAATTGCCTACTGGACTTCTTGCCTAGTGGGTGAAATACTGATGCTTAGAGTTTTATGACCATCAGAATCCCTCCTCCAGATTTTTTGTAGTTGTAGCCCTTTGGGGTCTTGGGTGGCTTAAAGGAATACAAAGACCTTTAGGCTAGGAGTACCTAAGGTTATTTTTTGCTTCACGGTATCCACCATACCATGAGAGTCGGGCAGTATCCAGGATCGAGCCCAACTCAGAGAGAGGGAGAACCTCACAGCATATATCTAACAGTGAATGTTGGGAGAACACAGTTTTCTCTCAGCAACCTTATTACGTGCGGTACAAATGTTGATAGTTGTGCAGTGACAGCGTATACAACCTTGCTGTGATATCTTTGGGTTTTTCTACCTAACGAAAAATAATAATTCTCAGCTTCAAAAGTCATATTCTACTTCACAGATAACATGCTTTCACAGTCACACCTCATTGCCTGTTCCTGCATACTGGAATTGTGCCCCCCTTGACCCTCTTTCTTTAGGATTCTGTCCGGGAGACCGTGGCTGCCTTGCGGTCTGAGGCTCCTGACGCATCTTCCCCATCCCCTCCTCTGGCTGATGGCTAGCAGGGGCTTGGAAATGAGGTTGGAATGGGGCACGGACAAGCCTTTTCTGTTCTTTCCCCTGATGTGGTCCCCTTCCCCCGGAAGCTCACCGCACTCTGGTTTCTTCTTTGACTTCTGAATAGAAGCTTCTCCTAATGGGAGGAAGGGGCTTTATTAATTCATGTGGCCACTTGCTCTCAGACACCGGACACTGCGTGTCCCAGCGCTTGGCCTGCTGAGACCACACCATAGCATGCATACATGTATGCTGGGCCTCCTGTAATGTGGTGTTAAGTCAAGGGACCTAAGAAATTTAGAATTCTCTACCAACCCAGTGTCCCTCCTGGTGAAATCACCAGGGGAGACGTGTGTCAGAAACTATAGCAAAGGGTGGGAATATGCCATTTCCTGGGCGGCTGGACTTGGGTCTGGAAGCCCCATACAGTGCTCATCAGCTGGCCTGGGTACTTGGCCTGGCTGTGGCTTGAGGGCCTTGTTTCTCTGCCATTCCATGCAGATCTCACCGTAGACGGTTTTGACTGTGAACTGTGTTCCATGTTCAGTTACATTTCTAAAAAGATAATACCTACAAGTAAAATGGGGGTGGGGGTGGGGAGGAGCACTGGATTTGCGGGGAGGGTACTTTTGCAGTGGTGGGAATTGAATGCAGTTGTGAGGCGCGGTTGAAGTGCTTCCAGGGAACCAGCGCTGTAGTGAAACACTAAACAACAATCAGAAGTCGATGACCCCTCCCCCACCCCAAACAAAACGAAGCTCGCTGGATAGATCAGCTCTGAAAGAATGCATGAGAAATTGGTCACAGGAGTTCTGCTGGTAGGGGCCAGGGCAGAGTCGGCAGAAGTCTGGCCTGCAGGCCAAATTTGGCTGCTGCTTGTTTTTGTAAATAGAGTTTTATTAGAACACAACATTGCTCATTTGTTTCCTTATTGTCTGTGGCTGCTCTCGTGTTCCAGAGCATGGAAACAGACACCGATGATGGACCCTTCACAGAAAAAGTTTGTTGACCCCTGAGCTACAGGACAGACACAGGAGGGAGGTTTACTTTCATTATACATCTCTGTCAAATTATCGGATTTAAAATACTCAGGGCAGGCTTCTGTGGACTCCTCAAGCACCCTCTATTTCAGTCCTTCTCACTGGGTGACTAACATTATTCACATGGGTCATTGACGATTAGCAGGAGCTGTTATTAGCCCTGCTCCCGGATGAGGCTTAAGCACTAATTCCATTGTGTTTCCTGGTAACTCAGAAGTAACGAATTTTCCGGTTAATCACTGGATGCAAAATCGTCCTCCTCTGCCTTTCGTGAAAAAAGCAAGAGGAATGCAGGCCGAGCTGGAAAAGTGGGATGCTGGTTTCCCCAGGCCTATGATAAAATCTTTTTAAATACGGAGAAGTTGAAAAAGAATCCCCTTCCCCCAATCTTCAGCTGAGACGAATGATCAGATGAAGATGTTGGTTTTCTCTTGTGGTTTTATGTAACACCGCGTGCATGCTCCGAGGGCCCTGTGCCCTGTAGCGTGAGAAGCGTGGTGAAAAGCAAAGAGGCTGGGGAGCAGGTCATTGAGACGTTGTCATGGAATAGTAGCGCCTGAGTGTCGCACAGCAGGACAGTCTGGGTGGTTGACTATGCTGTGGACTGATAGCCCTTTCTGTGCGTTGTCTTAATGTATCCGCAGATAAAAACGAGTGCCAGTTTGGAGCCACTGTGGTCTGTGGAAACCACACATCTTGCCACAACACGCTCGGAGGCTTTTACTGCGTTTGCCTAGAAGGATACCGAGCCACGAATAACAACACAACATTCATTCCCAATGATGGCACCTTTTGCACAGGTACTCCAAAAGGGGGCTGCAGTGACGGCCTCCTGGTGATGGCGGGCAGTATCTGAGGTGGGGAGAGGGAGGTGGCGTGGCCAGGGCAGGGTGCGATTTAAGGGAGGGACTCTCCTTTGTTAAGAAGGTCCATGAGGGAAATTTGGATGTGGGCTGAGTATTAGTTAATATTAGGGAATTATTGTTAATTCTGTTAGCTGGCATAACAGCATTGTGATATTTGGGATAATATTCTTTATTATTTTAATGTTTATGTATTTTGAGAGAGTGGGGGAGCGGCAGAGAGAGAGAGAGAGAGAGAGAGAGAAAGAGAGAGAGAGAATCCCAAGCAGGCTCCATGTCCCTTGCAGGGCCCGATGCAGGACTCAATCCCATAACTATGAGATCATGGCCTGAGCCAAAATCAAGAGTCAGATGCTTGACTGGTACTGAGCCACCCAGCCAGGCACCCCGATTTGGGATAATATTCTTATTTTGGGAGATGTATGCTGAAGTATCTAGGAGTATATGAATTATCTGCTATTTTTCTGATCTAGAAGGTATCTTAAATGACAAAATGTGAATAATTGCTGAATCTTGAGGGAGTGGGTCTATGGGAGTGAACTGTAATATAATATTTTTTTTCTTGTTCTGTGCATTTGAATGTTACTCTTAGAGGTGGTACCTGCAGGTGGGGTGTTCTGGGGGTGACTGTGGTACACACCATTATGCACATTGTGGGCCCAGGGGCTAGACATTCAGATGTTGGCTTCTGGGAGGTCAGAGTGCAGCCATGTTAGAGATGGGGCTTGCCTCTCAGAGGAATGAGGTGAGTGAGGAGTGCAACTTTTTGGGTCTCAGTAGCTTTGAAGCTTTGGGCATATGTTGGTTGAATACAACGGGTCGGCAAAATCCTAATTTTCAATGAGCCCTCTATTAGCCGGACTCTGTTTCACAGCATGTCGTGACACTGTAGCTCTTTGATTTTCTAAGAAAATCTATGAACAGTAAGGGAGAGGAAAGGCAGGAAAAGACTCCTGGTTCTAAGATGGTTTTGCATAGACTTAATGACTCTGCTTAAAAGCCTTGTGATAGTTAGATTTTCAGGGAAAAGGAAGGGGGAGAGAACATGTTTTATCTCCTTACCCACCAGGAAGGACAGAACCTGATGCTCTGATTCATTCCCCCTCTTGACCTGTACCAAAGTCAAATTCCCCCAAAGGGTAGCACATTTGATTTATTCTTGACATGAATGAACTGCATTCCCTCAGAGAAAGCATTTTGGGATACATTGTTGTTTTAGGTAGCAGATCACTTGCTGCATGATTGCCAGAGTGCAGTGCTGCAAAATTAAATTAGATATGTTAAAAAAAAAATTTTTCTATTTAAAAAAAAAAACAAACCTTACAAGATGATGATGTGGTGTTCAGTTCATTCACTACACATTTCTCACGCATGGCCCGTGTGTCACGGCTATGTCAGCGGGAGTTGATGTCAGACCACTAATTTCAGTAGAAAGTGCGAGTCGTAGGTAAGCAAAAGGTACTTTCGGGAATTTGGAATCCATGGGGGCTCTTATCTTGAAAGCAGGGAAAGGATCAGAAGAGATTCTGGAGGACATGATACCTGAAACTGTTTTCAAGGCTGTGGGAGTATGCCAGGAAAAACTTTTATAACTAATAGAAGACTGTAGTTCCCAAGGATGCATTTGACTTTAAAACAGTAAGAAGGAGGGGCGCCTGGGTGGCTCAGTCGGTAAAGCGTCTGATTTCAACTCAGGTCATGATCTTCTGGTTCGTGAGTTCCAGCCCTCTTGTGGTTCGTTGGGCTCTGGCTGACAGCTAGCTCAGAGCCTGGAGCCTGCTTTGGATTCTATGCCTCCCTCTCTCTCTGACCTTCCCCTGCTCACGCTGTCTCTGTCTCTCTCAGAAATTAAAATAAATAAATAAATAAATAAATAAAACAGTAAGAAGGAGAGAAGTAGAAGAAGAAAGAAATATTTTATGCAGGGGCCAAGTAGATGTCAGCCTATTAAGAACCAGCCTTTCTGGAACAACATCCGGATCTAGGCTCTGCTTCTATTCTACTTCTTGTAATTATTTAGTGATCTTTCTTTTTTAAAAAATGAGATATATGTCACATGCCATCAAATTCACCCCTTTGAAGTATACAGTTCGGTGGTTTTTCGTATATTTGCAAAGTTGTGCAGCCATCACCACTATCTAATTTTAGAAGATCTCCATCACCTCAAAAGAAGCCCCATCTCCATCGGCAGTCATTCTCATGACCTTTTCTTTTGAGGTCTTCAGTTATGACTTTATAAGAGCTGATGAATGACTTTTCTCAGCGATACTGAGTTTCTATCAGAATCAGTTTCCACTTAAAAAAAAAATGGGGGAGGGGGCGCCCCTGGGCGGCCCAGTCTGTTAAGCGTCCGACTTTCGATTTCGGCTCAGGTCATGATCTCCTGATTCGTGAGTTCAAGCTCCACATCTGGGCTCTGTGCTGACAGTGCGGAGCCTGCTTGGGATTCTCTCTCTCCTCTCTCTCTGCCCCTCCCCTGCTCATTCTCTCTTTCTCAAAATAAATAAACATAAAAAAAAAAAAAAAAGAATCACAGTCGCCGCAGATACATCAGTGGACTTTAGCTGAGCCAGAGGGTAAGCCGGTTTTGGGGGTGTCAGCAGTAATCCGATGTTTGTCTGGAACCACAGGCTATAGATCCTGGTTCCTGAATTCCACGAACTCCTGTGACCTGGTGCTTATCCTGCTTTGCAGAGTTCAACCCAATTTTAGTAGCTGGTGGCAGGTAGGCCTCTTTGGATGTCACCAGCAAGAGATGAAGAATGAGCTGCAAGCGTTCTAGTTCTGGAGAACCTGCAGACATTCTGGCCCCCAGGGCTGCCCCCAAACAACTTGCAGGGACCGTGGAAACTTTGCAGGGGAAGAGGCTGTGTGGCACTTCCGGTGCGATGGTGGTTTGGCTTGGGTCAGCTGACAGCAAGTGCAGAGAAATGAGATTGATGTGGGAATAGGCGGGCACTGTCGTGTCCCCGCCGGCCCGACTCCACAGTGTCTTCTCAGTGCCTTTGAATCCCGACATCTTGGGAATCCATCTTGGCTCTGATGGCAGCTGCAGCCTTCTTTCTCATCAGCTCATTTCCCACAGTACCATGGGCCCGATGCCATTTCTTCTGGAGAAATGCAGCAGCAGTTCAGCCTTGACTAGGAAATGGAGAAAAGGGAAGGGGGGCAAGGAGCCTACAGGGAGCAAATGCCTTGCCACTTCGCCATTCCGTCAGTTCCTGGAACCTTCACCTCAAAGCCTGTTTCGTGTAGGTCTGCCTGTGGTAAAGTAAACCCCTTCATTCCGAGAGGTAAATCCCTAACCCTGCCAGGACCAGTCCGTGCGTTTCTCTCTCAGGTCAGGAGCCTGTTTTCCATGGGAGCCTTTGCCCACAAGCTTCTCAGCTGCCCTGTTGTTTCAGATCCTGGCGCAGCCTGCTGTGGCCTTGGGCACAAAGGCGTGGTCCCACCGACACCCTGCTGGCTGTGTGGGTGTTGCCCAGTAGGCTTGCAGCTGTCCTGAGGTTTCTCCCAGGGCCTCTCCAGATGGGATTTTGCTCCCCAAATCCTTTAAATTTATTTATTTTTTAAAAATGCTTTTATTTATTCTTAGAGAAAGAGAGAGAGACAGAGCATGAGCAAGGGAGGGGCAGAGCGAGAGACAGACGCAGAATCCGAAGCAGGCTCCAGGCTCTGAGCTGTCAGCACAGAGCCCAACGAGGGGCTCGAACTCACAAGCCGTGAGATCATGACCTGAGCTGGTCGAACACTCAACTGACAAGCCACCCAGGCACCCCTCCCCCGTTCCTAATCCTTTGTTTTAGCTTGGTTTCGTTCCTCAAGTGTCATGTTTTGCTACTCCGAAAGAAGGAAGAAACAGGAAAAGCTAAACCTAAGAAAAAGTGCGCTGGGTTGATAGGTGATGATGGCTTCAGGCCCCTGCTTCTAGGAAGGAGAGAGAGGCAAAGGTTCTGAATCAAAAGCTGCTTAAACCAAAGCTCCATTCCCTTAAATTCTAGAGGCCTTGACTAAGGCACCATCTTTTCTCTTTGGGAATGAAGGGACATGCCTGAGCTCCCCTCCACCCAGAGGTGAGCATCACCTCACTCCACTCTTGCCTCTTGGCTGCTCAAGCCCCAGGGTATGGGTATCCCATATTCTTTCCCAAGGCCCTGTTGAGTGGGGTAAACTATGTGCACATGGTTCTTTTTTGCTCCACTAGTTTAATGTTTTGGAAGGAGTAATTGGGACAGGAGCTTTGGAGCATCTATAAAGTGGGTTTTCCTAAGCAAACTATTGATATTGGCAAGATTGCGAAGGCAATGGGTAACCTTTGAGTTCAGGCTCTTTGCTTCTGACCAGTGCCTCTCTGAGCAAGACCTTGGAAATGGTTCTTCATTTTATTCAGCTATTACATTAACAAAAGTTGTATCAAGAAGGATGGAGCTGTTACCCTAGGATGGAGCTCTGGAATAGAGTAGAGGTGAATGGGGCATTTAGTTCTGATTGTAGTGATCGTTTTCCCTAAAACAAGACAGAAGCAGTGGCACCTGGGTGGCTCAATCATTTGAGCGGCCAACTCTTGAGCCTCAGGTCATGATCCCAGTGCTGTGGGATCCAGTCCCATGTCAGGCTCTATGCTGGGCGTGGGGCCTGCTTGGGATTCTCTTTCCTCCTTCTCTGTCCCTCTCCCCTGCTCACACTCTCTCCCTAAAAAAAAAAAAAAAAAAGATAAGCCAATATGTTTTTCTCCATAAGAAGGAATATAGCTTTAAAAAAGAGGAATATAGTTTCGTTTTTTCCCATTTATTAAAAAAATCACATACTCATGTAGAATACTCAAGCAATTATATAAAAGGATAAAAGAGAAAGAAAAAAGCCATGTAATATTAGCCCAGGGGCAACAGCCCTTTTTTTTAAATTAAATTTTTTTTTCAAGTTTATTTATTTATTTT